GTTATTACAAAATGCAGGAGTTGAACTTTGTATGATTCAGGCAAACTCAGGGACTTCATGTTAAATGCCGACCTGGAAAAACCCATCCATGCTTTAATTTCTAGCAGGTTTGACTACTGCAATGGTGTTTCGACAGGACTACTCAAAAAAACATTTTCAGCTCATAAAAAACCCCACATTATGTAATAGCCAACAGCCAATATTTAATAATTTATTACAAAATGTGGTATATGTGTACATACACAGTTCTGGCTGTTTATTACATAATGTGGTGTTACTATTTAAACTGAGCTATCTTATCTTAAGTTACTTTTGAAGACATGCATTTGTCTGTCATCCTTGACTTGATAAAATCTTTTTTTATTGAGATTACAGCATTATTATCACATGGTCCAGGTTCCATAAATACACAACAACAACCTTGTGGAAATATAAAACTGCTGTGAATAATCTTTTTTAGGTAAAAATGTTTTTTAATTGTACATTACATTTAAAAAATACAGAGAATCCCGTAGATTTTTTCTTATACAAATATATTTACTGTAGTTACTTTCTACATCCCTAGATACATTATAACTTTGGTCAAATTGTCAAATTTCAAAAGGTGAATAAATTGGATTAGAATGAAAACTTGCGTAAACTTACCGCCATTAAGTCATCTGCGTTTCGTTGGTTTTTGGGTAAAGTAGGTTCATCACTGTCCATAAAAATGACTTCGCGCTGGGCGCTGCAGACCAGCAGCAGCAGAAGCAGAGAGAGCGACATTCTGAATGTGTTACTCTCTCAGCATAAAGACAGTGAATTAATACCAACACGTACTTCCAAAGACTGCCTCTCTTTCACTCTGTCTCCCCTTTTCTACCTGGCTGAAGGTTGTTCCGATTAACACAAAACAATAAACCAGGAAATGATCTGGTATGAGGAGATTATTTATTGTTTTGTTCATAGATAATGAACAGATTTGACAAAAGGGCAGTGAATACTGTTGTCTTAACCTTGACTGAATTGAAAACAAACATTAAAAACAAATTAATGGAAAATACAAAATCCAGTTCAGAGACTTGAATTGTTGCCAAACATCAGCATTGCTGTTCGTTGGCTCCTGGTGATTCGATTACTTACTAACACACTTTATTTACACACAATAAACCCACAGTACATAAGTACAAAATATTCTGTGTATCACATTGTTTCACAGATCCAAAACCCTTCAATGCCAACAAATATTGCCACCAAAACCATGAGCGCAACGAATTTGCTTCTGTGCATCTGACATTCCTTATAAAAAACCTCAAAAGTGTTTGAATTGTTCTGTTTATCTTTATGCTCACAACACTGTTATTTACTATTCTAACGCTGCTATATTGCAAATCCAGAATCCTTAAAAGTTTATATTTTCAGTGAATGTTTGTTATGTAATGCTGTTTTTGTTCATATGTGTTTTGTTTTGTATTTGTGACTTTTTGAGGACCCCCTCAAAAATGAGATGCTCCACCTCAAGGGGCTATCCTTTTAAGCGAATTAAGCTGCTCTCACTGGCTGCACAGTTTCGACTTGTCTTGTCTGCATTTGACAAAGTCACCAATTTAATTTGAGTGTTTCACGAAATTGTCTCATCTTGTAAGATTTTTTTGCCGATAATTAATCTTAGATTAGGGTACACATTTTTAAATTCAACTCAGTAAAGTGACCAAAATACTTATTTTAAGAAATTCTATCTTAAATAACTGAGTATTCATTGCTTGTAAAAAGCACAACTTCTTTCTAGTTTTAAGGTCCATTACAATCTTTCGATGGCTAGATTTTAATGCTAGTTTTAAGAATTCTAGCCAAGCAAAATTGGCTTACCCCATTGGTAATTTTTTTTTTGCTCAATACAAGAAAATTTTATAATATTTAAGAATATTTGGCTTATTTCTATTGCTAAGAAGGAAACTGGGATCCACTTGATCTTCATCATTACCTTCATAGCACAACAGAAGTCTTTTTCATTTTCTAACACATTTTTCACACCTAACCCTTTTTCAAAATCTATACACAGCAGATAGAAATTAGTGCTCTTCAATCACCAATCAATTCTTATCCAAACAGAGGCAAAAGTACACACATTATTTACTCAAGTAGAAGTACAGATACTAAAATAAAACACTTTGATAAAAGTAAAAGAACTGATTCTTTACTAAAGTAAAAGTGAAAAAGTACAGGCTCTGAAAAGCATTTGTACTTAGTTATTAACTTCCTTAATCTTGTTGTTGCTTGTTTGCAAGCATGACTCCCAAGAGGCCAAAGGGCACTAAGAGAGTAGAGGCCATAACACAAATGAATGTAAAAAATGTATCTGTTCTTTGGTAAATAAAGAAAGCAGTACAAACCTGTACCATAATGAATTTTATATCTAGAGCTTACTGTAGGTCCTACAGTTGATGACTGTTCATTGGCACTCAAGAGTACCTGCACATAAGAAAAAAATAACTTCCTTAGTCTCTTTTAAAGTTTTCAACAGGGGCATCTCAAAGAATGTAGCGGGTTTACTTATCTCTAGTATCAATCATCTCTGGAAAAATTAAATACACGTTCATTTTGTGATAGTGCCTTCTTTATATTTTTTGGGCACATATACTATAATTGTGTAAAGTTATCAACAAATGGCTCAGTAAACTACCAAGGAAGCTGAAACAAATTGTTTCACCGCAAACGATGAAAAAGTGTAACAACTGAAAATGGATGTCAATAAAGTTAGTTTAGTTGGTGGTTGACTCTTTAAGTCATTTAAGCATTAATTCCTGTAGGCAATAATTTGCTTTTGTAGTTGGCTTTTATCAAGAACAGACAAATAAAATACAGTACACATTGCATTTAAAATTAAGGCAGTAAAACATTAAAAAATTACCGGTAACTTGTTTTTACATTTATACAGTAACGTGATAAAAACAAGCAAACACCAAACTTGGAATAACTATAACTATGGTCACATTAAAGCAGCTGAGCTTGCAGTTTTAACTTTGGGTGAAAATAAATGTTCCTTCCGGGGGTCAATAAATGATCACGTTGAAACAACGGAGGGCGCTGTGGTTGCACGTTACAGTTGCACATAACTCACAAGACGTAGAGTGATGTCTGATGGCAGCCCTCGTCTCACCAGTTCAGCTTTAATCTGGAGGAGAAAACATGCTGAGATATGATCACTAAGTTCTCTTAGGTATTTGAGTGAATGAAACTAACTGAGATAAATACCGATGTTAAAGTGTAGCTGTTCGCCAACAACAAGTGGGTTCACTAACAGAAATACAATAAAATGTCTCCTTTAATGGTCCAGTGTGTAACATTTTGGAGGTTCTATTGTCAGAAATTCAATACGATATAATACGTTTGGGGTTAATTTTTTGAAGATGATTTTCCAGTTTTTTATGTCTATCTACACTTATAGGTCTTACAGTATCTATCTGTCTATCTGTTGAGTGCTTGATTAATTATATATTAATACACAACAGGTGCAGTTATGTGATGCTTTGAAAGGATTTCTCATTACATAAGAAGAGACTGACCTGTGGTATGAAAATATCCCTGAAGTCGTCCTCAGACAGGGTAATCGTAGTGGAAATCCTTACTTTCACAGCTGCAACAACTAGAAGCACAGTGACTTAACATTACAATGTAGGTCAAAAGGATCGTCAAACTGTAATAATACACACATAACACTCATTACATTCACTAATAATTTAAGATTTTCACTTGTTACTTAGCTTAGTATATGTATCTATGCATAAGAGATAACATCACCATCTGTCATACTCACTTTGGTTTGGGTCTTCGGTTACAGGTGTTGTACTTAGTGGGGTAGTAGTTGTGGATGGAGTAGGTGTTGTAGGTAGTGGTGTAGTTGTAGAGGTAATGGTGGTTTGTGTGGTCGTAGTTGGTGTAGTAATTAGTGGGGTAGTATCTGGGACTAAAATAATGGTGGTTTGTGCGGTGGTAGTTGGTGTAGTAGTTAGTGGGGTAGTTGTTGTGGATGAAATAGTGGTTGGAGGTAGTGGGGTAGTTATAGAGGGAATGGTGGTTGTTGTAGTTATCCGTGTTGTTGTTGGATCAATGGTTGTAGCTGTTGTTGGGGCTGTAAACAGAAGTGAAGATAAATGATAGATGATAAGTCAACTTTACCAATCCAGGAAATGTAATTTAAAATATAAAAAATAAAGAATGGTTCCACTCACCGTTTCCAACACTCACAATCACACATCGTAGCTCCGAGTGATACTTGGTTGAACTGCAACAATAAATCAGTGCAGTTGTTTTAACTTGCGAAATTGATGTCACAAATCACGTTCAGACATTAGATAGAAAGTCTTTGAGGTCTCCTCAATTTTAAAGTCCAGGTGAAAAAAACCCTTAAAATTGAACCTTTTCATATTGCTTTCTCAGTTATATTTTACCCCTATTTAACAATGTATTTAAAAAAAACTAAATTTGTTTGTTGAAGATTCATAAGTTAGCTAGCAACAGCATGACTGGCTAGATAGTGTTTCTGGAGGCCGGGTCTTAATGATTACTGCACAAAAACACAACTTTATCCATGATTTGGGTGAAACTGGATCATAGTTTATGGAGAGAATATCCCTCTGACGTCCTTCGGTTGCTCTGCCTCTGTTGAATATGAATCTATAGCCTGGAGTCTTGGTGTCACTGCAGAGTTACTGAGCAAACCAGTGGAGACTCCAGGAAGTAACTGCTCCCATCCAAGAGTATATAATAATATAATCATAGTTCTGCACATAACCCCCTATAAAACCACAACTCTTTGTTTTTTCACTGCAAATTAAATATACTAGATATAGGACGTTACTTAATGAGCCTCAGAGGTTTCCCCATTTCCAGCTTTTATGCTAAGCTAAGCTGTGTCCTAGGTGTAGCCTCATACCATATACTGAACTGGAAATATAGGATTTTTTTTCATCAGACTTATACTGACGATAATATACCTTCATATATGCATTTATAACCGAAAACCTTTTGAAGAAACACAGTTCATTGTTTTTTTATTTCAGATGTTTCTACAGTTTTGTATGTTTCAATGTTTATGGGACAAGAGACTGACTTGAAAACTGCCTGGATGACAAAGCAGATGGGGTGGCTTTCTCCATCTTCGTTTTCAGACGGCGTCCATCTCAGGATGTACTGTCCTACTCCTGAATTAATCTGGTTTGTGTTGTACGGCCCGCTGAACAGCAGCTCAGTAATTCTGTAACAAACAGAAGAAGAAATCAGTTGTTAGACAAACATTTTCAAACCCTCCCCACCCACAAATAGCGTGACAGCATGATTGGAATTCTTCCACAGGTGGATGGAAATGATTTTTTATCTCACTTGGCATCTGACTCAGATTTCTTTTTCATTTTGTTTCCTTAATGACAGTGGTTGTGCAGCTGGCTGAGTTTTAGTGAGTCAGATGTGTTGCTGGTTTAAATTACTTTTAACTTTGACTTACATGGAGACATTTGCCTCTGCCTTGATGCTGATTTCCAGGGTCTGATTGGCAGGAGTGTACAGCTGAGCTCTGTTGGCAGGAGTTGGAGGCAGAAACTTGGGCAGATAGATTCCCTCAGTGCAAGATGGCACCACAGCGTCCACTGGAACAATAAGAAAAAGCCAACATTTCAGCTACTTCAAGGTTTCCTAAGGGTCGCAGTGCCGGTTGGTCCGTCCATCCATCAGTCTGTCTACCACTGCCACCAATGGGCCAAGTTTTTTATTCAATGAAATCTCTTGAGACGTACTGTACTACAAGTAGATTTTCACTCACAGAGGATCAACTACTAAGATTACCGTAAAACATCAAATAATAGCCCAGGCTTTTTTAAGATTCAATCAGTGTACTCAACCAGCATCCATACGGGACAGGCCTTAAATTCCTTTTGCACAAAACTCTTGCTCATCAAAGATGGGAAATACTATCAAATTAAAACTGGTATAAATATTACTTCTATAAAAATTAGACTTTCAAAGAACATCTTAGTTACGAATCATTCGTTTGTTGGTGCTCATGGTTTCTGTAAAATGAACTGAATGGTTGAATTGTGGCGAATCCAACTGATCTAACGATGTGTAGCATGTCCCTACTGGTAAAAGTTTAAACATTTATATTTGTGTAGGTGATCTAAGCAGTTTAAAACTCACTCAAGCCGTCTTTTCTCAGGCAGTAGATGTCCAGACCAGGCGTCTAAATGAGACTTGCGTTTATTTGTCAAAATGTGTGGCCACAACAGGCCACTAAAAGGGGAGCTGTGTCCAATTGGGAGCCTGCTTTTTAAGTTTAACAGTATTTCTAGCTGACATTTGTGGCTTTAAGTCCAGGTTGCCAAAAGAAGAACTCTTACCCCTTAAAGCAAATTGGACAGGTATTTTGCTGATAGAGTCGTTTGTAGTTCTCGCCACCTGCGAACCGTTGGTCTGAGTCAGGATGATATCCTGCCTGGGAAAGTCCTCCATCACCAGCTGTACAACGTACGCACCTTCATTACTAGTACTGGTGGGGCTGAATGACAGAGTACAAGACTGAAAGAGAACAAAAGGGGACATGAGATCAAAATAACTCAGAACAGAAAAACCAAACACTGACTCCTTTCGTGTTTTGTAGCCACCGTAGTTTCTTCTACATTCTCAGTTATCTGCCCATGTTGTTATAAAGCACAATATTAATTTAAATAAGAGTTACTTTGGCTACTCACTGATGAGAGGTTGAGAACAGACGGTGGCGTGCAGATGTCACACTCTGACAGCGATGCGTTTCCATATCTGCATTTAACCTCATCTCCGTCAGGGTCAAACGCCAGCAGGTTGTAAGCTCTCTGACAGTTTGAAGGAACTCTGAAATAAAGAGTCATTTAAAATCGTAGATTCATAATATCAGTGGTGAAAGTACATTTACTCACCTGCTGCATTGAAGTACATTGTTATGCTATATGGAATTTTATACTTCTGTCTTTTTTTACTACACTACATTAGTAACTGTAGTTACTAGTTACTTTGCAGATTCTGATCAATAGAAAATATAATTTAATAAATTATAATTGATTTGGAGTTTACCTCACAGCGGGCAGTATGGTGGTCTGGGGTGATGTGTTGGCTTTGCCGGTGTCCGACCGGTTCCTCAGCTCCACCAGAGTCACAGCACTCCAATTTCCGATGCCATTAATGTTAGCTATCCAGGCAGCACCATTTAATCTGTTGGTGGAAATTGATGAGGAAGTCAGTTTTTACTGTGCTGCACAGAACCTGAGTGAACTAAAGATATTAATACAAGGTGTTTGTGACGCCACAAATCAAGTGTTTAAATCCATTGATTACTTGTTTGGTGGCGATTAAGAAGGGTTTCCTTTCAGAGCCTCAAAAAGTTTAATTGTCAACATTTTGGAAAATGTTTGTCTCAGTGAAATAAATGTGAAATGTAATTCTTGGATTGTCATGGTGCACTTACTCCAGCTCAAGTGGAGTGTTGCTGGGAACCTGTTGAGAGATGATTCCCTCTGTCTGACACCACTCTCCATTGCCCGACTGGGCTCCACTGTCCTCCCTCTCTACCTCATGTTTGATTATGCTCTGATTCCCACAATTCCCAGTGCAGGTCCATGATGCTTCACTTTCATCTGCACAATTGTGGAAGTTCACCTTATAGCGAAGAACCACCTGTAGTATTACATTGAAGATGTGGGTATTAATGACAATTTTTAAGTAACACAAACTTATTTTTTTAGGATAAAAAAGATTCTTGATTAAGCTGCTTTTACTAATAATTTTAAGTTGCACTGACTTAGTTTTGTAACTTAGAGAAACATTCCTGATTAATAACTTTTTTTAAGGTATTTTGTTCTCACAGTACAAATAAAAGTTACAAAATTGAATCATTCTCACTCACTCAACATTACTAAAGCTACTTGATCAAGAATGTTTTTGTTTAACCAACAAAATTGAGTTAGTTTTACTTAAACATTTTGAGTTAAATTAACTTATCTGGTTTTATAGTGCGGGTTGCTTTATTGTACATAAAATTTTAAAAATACAGAGAATTTACAGAAATACAACATTTGCCGTAGTTTCTACATCCCAGAAATACTGTTATAAGTTTGGTCAAATTGTCAAATTTTAAAAGGTGAATAAATTGGATTAGAATGAAACTGTACGTACCGTCATAGATCCATCTGTGTTAGTGTTTTTGGGGTAGTAGGTCATCACTGTCCCA